ACACGTGTTGGGAAGACCAGATATGCCTGGTTCAGGGGATTGCAGCCACAATGTGCACGGTCAAGGGTAGGCAAGGTCTGCTATCCACATTGTTTGTCTCTGTTTCACCAGTGGCAGTATGGCAAGGAGAGGGCTGAGTTACAGCCACGGGGATCCCTCTCATGCCAACAACATGGTTGCAGGACAGAAATAGGTAAGTAAGTTCTTGAGACTGAGAAGGATGCAGGTTCTGGCCACGTCTACCTTAGTGCAAACATTGGCCCTGCGATGTACAGTTGCATGGGTAACTTAGATTTCTGGAACCTCCATTTTCTTCTCCGTAAAATGGGGATAATATCAGCATTTATTTGTAGCCTGTCACCCATCTGTCAAATAATCATATTCTGGTGACTGTGTGTTTCTATCACACTGCAAGCTATGCTCCTATTTCAGGGACCAGCAGAGTTACCCGTGGAGGACAGATTTCAGCAGAGCTTCTGGAGGAAGAAAGGACTGGTGATATACTTCTGAAAACTGGCCACCCAAAACCCGATTGATTCCTATAGAATATTGTCTTGTATAAGGAACTGTCAAACCGTTTGTGGGAAAGTGGAATTAAAAGACAAATTTTTCCACACACTTTTTGATGCCCTTTGTGGTGCTGGAAGATGAGCCCCCTAGGTGGGCAGGCACCCAGAATACGTAGTGGCTTCAGAATGGGTTTGAGTGAAGCAGTGGCCCAGAATACGGTGCGCATCCAGGCAGCATTTTGTTCTGCCGGTCCGGGAGTCACCGTGAATTGTAGCAGACTTGTTGATAACCGACAAAAACTTATAGATTGTTCTGAGCCTTCAGGAAGATGACTGCTTAATGCTGAGCCCTTGGTGGCTGTCATCTGTGTCTGTCTCAGATGTCACGCATTGTCCCTCTGCCTCAGCATGCACGTCACGGCAGAGTAACTTTTTCGGAGTCTCTCTGACCACGGAAGCATCGGAGCCCCTTCTGCACACGTTCTCTTGCCTGTTGCCCTTTTTAATTTTATGCCTAATCCTTTTGTTGCTGGCTGAAGTACGCACATTTGTTTACGTGTTGAACGTACAATTCCCCTAAGTTGGAAGGGACTTTCTCATGTGCTGCCACTTACCTGCAGTGCCCAGAACGGCTCTAAGACTTCCTGGTGTAGGAGCTGAATCCATACCTACTGCACTGACTCCATGTTCTTGACTTCTTGGGTTCTAATGTCCATTTCAGGTGCCACACAGAACTCACAGACAAAATCCATGATTAAAGGGCTTCTCAAAGAACTTAAGTTGTAATGCCAGTCGGAAATGCTCAGGGTTAAGTTGCTTACAAAGGCATTTACAAAGATCTGTCAAATCTACTAACAAATGCCCAAAGGGCAAACCACTTTGCTCTAAGCCTCCACTCCAAGGCATTAGCTCATGCTCTGTAGGTCAGCAAACCCAGCTCCCTGAATTAAGTGCTCAGAGGCACCTTGCTCCAGTAAACCTCAGCCTCCAGGTACTCAGCTCCACTTCCATCGGCCTGCAAGTCCAACTCCCCCATCACGTGCCCAGTTACCCCACTCACTCCACAAGCCAGTCCTCGGCACACAAGTGCGCTCCTGAGCAGTCCCATCATTCTCCTCCATGCTCTGGCTCCTGGTTCTGCCTCTTCTTCTCTAATGGTCCAGGGGTCATCTGGATCCAGGAGGTTCACTGCACAGGAATCCCGGTCCAGAGGGCATACTTCACCTTGACTCTTGCTGGTGATGACATTCCCACCTGCTAATCAGAGGTTTCACTGTATCGGCGGCAGCAGCAGGATGGCACTCCAGGGAGTTCTGCTCGCAGTTACTCACAGGTGAATCCGATCAGTGGCCTCCCCCACGTTCTCACCAGACCGCTGCAGGGAAAGGTCGCTTGGGGCTTGCAGTAGTTCTTAACCTTCCCCATGCCGCGACCCTTGAATACAGGTCCTCATGTTGTGGTGACCCCTCAACCATAAAATTATTTT